CCGGTTTCGGATTTGCCTGTCACTGTGGCCAGCCACAGGACGCCTGCGCCTTCAAAGGCACCATAGATGGCTTGCGCTGCACCACCCACAGCTCCAACCACACACCCCATATCCAGTGTAAACCCGAAGGAAAATAAGACCGGGAGGCATGTGGATGGGAGCCAGGTTTCATCAACGGAGCCGGCCCACACTCCTTCACAGGCAAACACAAGCACGCGGTAGTTGGAGAAGCAAGCGCACACAAGGCGGTGTCTGGACGGTAGTCCGCTCCACACTGAGTGCATGGAACCGCTTTTCGAGCCTATCACGACCACAAGGACCGTGCATCCCGTCCTTTCCAGCAACGACCAACTGTCTCCTGAAGCCAGTATGGACGAGGTAGTGGGTAATAGACAGGTAGGCACCTTGTCAACATGCACATCAAGCGCAGCCACACCGGGGATATCAAGCAACAGCCATTCACTTGGAAAGACAAGATGAAATAAAACAAATCCAATAATGCATACAGATACGGTGGCATAACTCATCGAAAAATTAGCATATGAAGTAAGTTGGTTAGCAATGAATCCGCGATAAGGAAAAAATGTCCACAAGTTCCTTAAAAATGCTACAGACGCGACAAAGTTACCGAAGATAAGCGCAATTAGCGTAAGCAACGTGGCCAGTTAATGGATTATATATTTATTTATTTATTTGGGAGCCGTCACATAAGAGGGCAATATCGCCTGCATGCTCCAAGTCAAGAAGTCGCTAAACTGGTAGTTGCTTCACACCTTCCAAGTCTTGTCCTGTGAACGCGATCTCCATGACTTCGTCAATAGCGAAGTTGAAGCGGAATGGTGACAGCAGGCATCCTTGTCTCACACCGCTGGAGATATTAAAGGGCGGGTCGACAGCTTGCCGTAATCCCTCACTCTCCCGAGCTACGCGCGTGCAGTGCACGGATAATATTTACGTATTTCTCGGGCCGTCCTTCCCTGAGTAGACAGTTCTAAATGACACATCGATCAACCGAATCGAAGGAACATGACAACGGTGGGCCGCCAATATGTGTGACAGTGCTCCAACAACTGACGCAAAGGGAAATATGGTCGATGCAGCCACGACTCCGACGAAACCCGACTTGTTCCTCACAAATCTGGCTTTCACGAGCACCAGTCCGTCTGTGAAGCCTTACAGAGGCAAGTACTTTGAAGGCGATCGGCATCAGACTGATTCCTCTATGGCTGCCGCATTCCGAACGCAAGCCTCCTTTGAAGATTGGAGCGGCTCCATTGGTTGAGACGATTTCCTGCTCACAGTCTCACTAGCAATTCGTGTAAATCATCCACAAGAACAAGTCCCCCGAATTTGAAGAGATCTGGATGAAGATCATCTGGTCCTGCGGTTTTATTTAGCTTCAACAGTTCGATCTCACGTTTGACTTCTGAGCGAAAAGGAAGATCCAAAAAGACAATCCAGGGAGCAGGGCGATCAGCGGCTGACGAGAAATCTGACAATTCTGACCGATTAAACTACCTTTCAAATTGTTCATCCCAATGCTCCAAATTGTGGATAGACTGTCCACCCTCGGCACGTATAGTTTCACTAATACCAGGTCTCCTGCGGCCGGTTTACAGCATCAGACGGTATATATATATATATATATATATATATATATATATATATATATATATATATATATAATGTGGACATTCGAAGAGAAATCTCCTTAGAAATTCTGTTGCAAGTGAACAATCCCGACAATTAACCGACTAGCGATGATCGTGATGTCTCCATTACATGTTCTACTCCGCCGGTTAGTGATGCGAGTGAGGATAGTTATAGTTCCAGTTGTCTCTCAGCCATACTGAATTTATCGGGGTTTATGAAAACATACGTACTAAACGGATGAAGGCAGACGCGCAAAGACGCCTACCAGAAGTTGCATTGCACATGGACAATCTTTTGGATGGACTAAGTAGAATGTTGAACCTAACGGGAATGGTACGTCAGTGTGTTAGTATATTACATCGGAAAGGGATCGAGGCATAGCGAAAATCATTTTATGAGCACCAAATGGTTGCACCCGAGACGTACGATATGTACCGTTAGCAAATAGCTTATGGCCACAGTAGAGCACACGTCGGTAGGTACAAACGGTTGAGTAGTTGGACATATACACAAAAATTGCGAACACTGTTTGGAAAGTCGCATGTTTAACAGTAGGCAACGGGACTTAGTTGATGTGACCTGTCAATACCAAAGGGTGCGCATCAATCGTAGGTGTACATACCTCAGGCAGCAGATGACCGAACCGGTCGGAGACACAGAGAGCCAGAAGTGGACAATGCATCGCATTCGCATGCTGTGTGATCATTTCCCCCATCAGCTACACAAATCAAACGGTGCATGTAGACGGCAACCCCTAAGTGCACACTATTTCACTGTAGCAATAGTTTAGTTATCCTTCTTATCGATGCTCGCCGGCATATTCCGGCTGGAAGCGAACACAATGAAACTCGCAAAGAGCTCCGGGCAAAACTCCGTGCTAGCCTGAAGAGAGACCGCGAATCCTGGTGGTCTCATCGTGCATTAGAGATGGAAATGGCTGCTGCCTTTGGTAACCATCGTAAGTTATTCCGGCTGATACGGGAATCGGGCAGCAGCAGACCTAGTGTTAGTGAAACAATTTGTGACGAGAGTGGACAGCCTATCCAAAACCTGTCAAAACGCTTAGACCGTTGGGCTGAGCACTTTGAAAGGCAATTCAATCGGCCGGAATTGTTAGATTTCTCGCAGGCCACTGATCGCACCGCTCCTTGGGCTGTCCCTTTGGATCCACCCTCTCGCTCAGAAGTCGAATATGAGATCGAACTGTTGAAGTTAAATAAAGCCGCGGGACCAGATGATCTACCTCCAGCCCTCTCCAAATTCGGGGGAACTGCTCTTGTGGATGATTTACACAAGCTACTAGTGAAAATGTGGAGCGGAAAGCTGTCCCAACTGACTGGGGCCGCTCAGTCACAGTCCCAATTTTCAAGGGAGGCACACGATCGGAATGCGGCAGCCATAGAGTAATCAGTCTGATCTCCATCACCTCCAACTTGCTTGCCTCTACCATCCTTCACAGACTGACTGGCATTTGTGGAAGCCATATTCGTGAAGAGCAAGCCGGATTTCGTCGAGGTCGTGGCTGCATTGACCACACCTTCACTTTGCGTCAGTTGTTGGAGCACCGTCAGATATACTGGCGGCCCACAGTTGTCTTGTTCATCGATATCAAAGGTGCATTCGATTCCATGGACAGACTTACACATTGGGACTGTCTCATCAGGAAAGGTGTACCTGAGAAATATGGAAATATTATCCGAGCATTATATGCACGTAGCTCGGGCAGTGAGATGTTATGGCAAGCTGTCGTCGCCCTTTAATATCTCCATCGGCGTGAGACAAGGATGCCCGCTGTCACCTTTCCTCTTCAACTTCGCCATCGCGTTCACAGGACACGACATAGGTGTGGAGCTGCTACCAGGAGAACGACTTCTTGACTTGGAGTATGCTGACGATATTGCCCTAACGTGTGACAGCTCACAAACGTGTCAAGCGGCACTGAACAGATTAGCACTGGTTGTCCGTCACTACGGGCTTTCCTTTGCACCCCCGAAGCGCAAAGCGTTCCTCCAAGTTTGGTCTGGACCGCCTTCTGGGCTGACCGTTGGTGGGGATCAGCTGGAAGTCGTTCAAAGATTCAACTGCCTGGGAAGTTGTATCAGCGCTTTAGGGATTGAAGATGAGATCACGAACCGTATAGCAAAAGTTCGGGGCGCTTTTGCTAACCTTCGCCACTTACGGCACCGGCGCGACATCAGTCTTGCCCTGAAGGGTAGAGTGTACAATGCAGCGGTACGTTCGAGCCTACTGCACGGTTGTGAAACCTGGCCGCTTATAGCAGCGGACCTGAAGAGGCTAGTTACGTTCAACCACCGGTGCCTTCGTAATTTAACTCACATCTGGTGGGAATACCGCGTGAGCGACGACCGTGTTCGACGCCTTGTTTACGGCACAGGAAAAGGAACTGAAATGCTCAGCACCGTTGTTTCACGCACCAGGCTCCGATGGCTCGGCCACGTGTTACGCATGCCAGCCCACCGACTCCCGCGACGTGCGTTGTTTGTGCGCCGGAGGTGTGGATGGAAGAAGAAGAGGGGCGGCCAAGTGATGACTTGGTCGAGAGGAATGAAGGCCCTCACTTCGAAGCTGGCCTCGGTTGGAGTGTCTCGACTTCCTGGTTGGGGTTCGAAAGACGATGAACACGTTTGGCTGGACACACTTGCTGACATGGCTAGGAGCTGACCTCGGTGGCGTTCGTGCTGTGAGTTTCTTTGTCCCACCCCATCACTCTTAGCCTCCCCCTCCAATTACGATCTCACTATTTAGCCTAATATAATTTTGCATGATAGATTTTTTTGCTGCATAGTAGCCAGCAGTTAGCTTACCGAAACGATGCCCATCCGTTACCGGTAGCTCAGCTGGCCTGCACCTGTTGCATTTTTCTCTCCTTATTTCTATGTATTGCGGCACAGTAGCTGAGGTGTTTCCCACCTCTAGCTAACGTGTATCATGATAATGATGATATGGTAACTCTGAACGATACTTCAACAGAATCTTACACACTCGGAGTGTGTCAGCCGTAACGACCAAGCACAAAGATAAAATGTGCCAAATGATGGAACATAGCGAAACGTATTCGATGCGAAATAACACTCAAACGTTTAGTGTTCCTTTACTTGCGAGTTTTCGCAAGCAAAGCGTAGCTTTATGGTGGAATGGTGTACAAATCATTTATAAATAAATAAATCCTTTATTCTCGGGCAATGCGAGGCACGCTTATGTAGACTTGATCATGGTAACTGATTGGAAACGGTAATCCAGTAGAGCAGTTGTGACCAAGCAGATATTCATAACTTAATACGCCTACCTTGTGTGAATTACCTAACCATGGTAAAAAGTGCACTTACGGCATGGCGCATATCCACATGAATAGATTGAAGACAAGCCTCGTAAATACTTGATTTGTTCCAACGATATCGGAAGTCGTGCAAGCGATTCGGAGGAAGTAGCTTGTTCCAAAGACTGTACAGGAAGGAATAGGCAATCAGTAGCTTGTTAGTAATGCGTCCAAAGCTAAGGTATGCGTTCACGAAAAGTAAAAAGGTATATCAGGGGTAGGCTGGCAAATCGTATTGGTGATTCGTTATCAAGCATCAGCCAGGAAACATGTGAAGAATAAGGACGATGTGAAGTTACATGCGACTGTGTGGAACGTAGCCAGTGATCATAAGCCCGAACCACTCGGCCACCAACCGTACGGAAGGAAATGCAGTGCGTGACAACTAGTACGATGGAGAAAGGACATAGGTTTAAAAAAAACCGTCTAAACGCAGAGATCCTTGTGCTTAGTTAATGACTGACATTACAAAGTGTGACAAATTTATCGATATCCCACCTGTGTTTGCTATTCATTAAGCCATCCAAATGAGAAATAGAGAAGACTACAAGTGTAACCACCTTGCTGCCACCGCGTCAAAAAAATGGTCATGTATAGAATAAGTTTTGGCAGGACAGATAGCGCAACCGGGGAGAATTAGTCACAAACGCGCGCAAGGTGAGTGAGCCAACCACAGATGGCAGCAGAAAGAAAATAAGCTGGAAAAATACACCGGCAGCATTTCGCCAGGAAACTATGATGGTTCTCTAAGGGTAGAGATACTCGAGTGCGGACTTCGTATCCATAGAACAAAAGATAAGTATTCACAAGGTGCCAGGAAATAGAGTTCAGAATGAAAAACGTGCTCCATGGTCTTCACAATTAGGATCAGCCTCAAGCCAATGCAGTTCAGTAACAAAACTTGTAATCCGTTTTCCTTTGGACTTCGACCAACGTAAAGCAAATATCAGCGTTATCGGTGTACACTCTGACAAGAGATAAAGCAGCCACCGCTCCAACAGCATGCTTAGGAACAACAGCATCATGTATTAAAAAAGAAAAGTCCTCCTAAACGCTAAAAGCGGTTAATATTTTGTCAAGGTGTTAGCATCATGCATACAAATATATATATATATATATATATATATATATATATATATATATATATATATGCGTGATGCATCGCTGTGGACAGATGTTATGGGTTCACATGGCATTGGTTCAGCGAATGCGAACGGTGACAGGCTACTTTCACTGTGTGCCACTCACGGCCTGACGATCACAAACACTCGGTTTGCACTGAGTGCGAGTGATATAGCGACTTGGGTGCACCCACGGAGTGGCAACGCTCATCTGCTCGTCTATGTCATCGTACGTCAGCTTGATATGCGTGAAGTGCGCATGACACGTGTACTGCGTGGAGCTGAGCGTGGCACTGATCACAAATTGGTGTGGACCACACTGTACATATATTTTCGTAAATATATGTATTGCACTCCCGCTGTGAATCGTCGTAAAGTAAACAATCACTCTCTCGGCACTGGGGCGAAACGTACTGAGCTGGAGAAGGCGATGGCTGCACGCCTGTGTGATGTGGAATGCATAGCCACAGTGGGCGACATGTGGCACCACCTTCGCGAACAGGTGAGAGCAGATGCCGAGGAGACCATCGAGCGCGCAAACTGTAAACGGTCCGATCGGTTTGATGAGAACAATGCGACGATTGGTTCATTGTTGTCGGGGAAGAATGCAGCATTTGTTGCACATATGGCAGACCCCAGTGAGTTGGGAAAGAATAGCCAGTTTCGCAGACTTCGACGGCGACTGACCCGAGAGCTCCGTCGCATTAAAAATGCATGGTGGACGGAGAAGGCGAAGCAGATGGAATGCCACGCCGAACACCGCCAACACAAGGAATTCTTTGACTCCTTGAAGGCGGCGTATGGACCGAGATTGGAACCGCTTAGGACGCTGATCGATGCTAATTCAGTTGCTACCTGCATACAGACTGCAGATCTGGCGAAAACACTTTGACTGTCTCTTGAACAACCCTTCAGAAATCGAGTGGCTTAAATTGAACAGCCTCAAGTAGCACGATGTAAAGACGAGTCCGGCGGACATGCCGACACTGGATGAGAGGCAGAGGGTATGTGTTCAGCTGCGAAACGGCAAGTGTGATGTAGCCGACGGGATCCCGTCTAAAGTATTGAAACACGGTGGACCCGCGTTGATGACTGCGCTGGGCCACTTGGTGCAACGCGTATGGATTGAGGAGGAGGTGCCTGCTGAGCTGAAGGATGCCCTTGTGTTGCCACTGTGCAAGGGCAAAGGTAGCAAGCAATGTTGCACGAATTATCGTGGCATCAACTTGCTGAGTTGTGTGGGCAAGGTGATTGCCAGAATCCTGCTCAACCGCCTCGTCAGTCAGGTTGTGGAACCTAACGTGGCGGCAGAGCAGTGTGGATTCCGCTCGGGTCGCAGCACTATAGATATGGTGTTTGCGGCTTGTCAGTTGCAGGAGAAGTGTAGGGAACGACACCAGCCTTTGTACTCGCTTTTTGTTGATTTCACCAAGGCATTTGATACGGTGAACCGCGAGGCATGGTGGCTGGTGTTGGGTAAGTTTGGTAGTCCGAGTAAGTTTTTAAGTTTCATTATATGACTGCACAGTGGTATGCGAGCGAGGGTGCAGCTGAGTGTGCAGTCCTCGGATGATTTTGTGGTAGTCTCTGGTGTGAAGCAAGGCTGTGTCTTAGCTCCTGCCCTGTTTAATATTTATCTTCATGCAATGTTGTCTTGTGCTTTTGATGCGGCTTGTGCTTACGGTGTTCGTGTGGAGCACCGTATTGATGGTGGGTTGCTGAACATCCGTCGTTTCGGTGCGAGAACTCTAGTCTGTGAGACAACTATCCGTATGTTGCTGTTTTCTGACGACTGTGCGTTGTTTGCACACAGCGCGGATGAGCTCCAGCACATGACTAGTGTTATGGCTTCGACAGCGGCCAAATTCGGGCTCACCATCAACACAAGCAAAACTATCTGTCTCTCTCAGCGTTCATCGGAGGTGCAATCTTCAATATTGCCACGAATCAGCATTGGTGCTGAAGTATTGGAAACCACCTCCCGCTTCTGCTGCCCTGGGAGTGTAATGTCGACCGACCAGCAGCTACACAGTGAGCTTCGTATCCACGTGTCGAAGGCAGCGGCGGCATTCGGGAAGCTTGAGTACCGAGTGTGGAACAACCATCAGCTGACCATTGGCACGAAGCTCATGGTGTACAAGTCCATGGTGCTGTCCGTTCTTCTATACGGCAGTGAAACGTGAACGATGTACCGGCGGGATGTGCGATATCTCGAGCGGTTCTATCAGCAGTGTTTGAGACGGATTTTGCGCATCACCTGGGGCGACAGAGTTGCTGACATAGGAGTGTTGCGCCGAAGTGGAATGTGTGCAGTGGACTGCATACTTTTGCTGAGACACCTGAGGTGGCTCGGTCATGTGAGCCGTATGTATGCGACGCGGATACTGAAACAACTCTTATATGGTCAGCTGAGTATAGGGAAGCGGCATGTGGGGAAACCAAAGTTACGTTACTAGGACATGATCAAAGTGAGCCTCTCACGTTCTAATCTTGATTGCAGATCATGGGAATCGATGACGGTTGATCGGCGTGCATGGCGCGATCTGATCACGAAGGCAGTTGCCTAGGTGCAGGAGAAAGCCCTCATGCACGCAGAGAAGAAGCGGCAAGTGCGGAAGCAAAAAGCACCGATGGGTTGTTCTCCATCGACATCAAGCGCATGGTGCTGTAGAACATACGGTCGCGAGCGCCTGAGTCAGGCTGGCCTAGTGAGCCATGAGCGAGGCCACTCGGGACTACTACCGAAGCCCCGACGGGTTCTGCAGAGAACGTAGGCAGAACCGGCGCAGCGTTTGTAGGTACGCTGCATTCGATTTACAAACCCCGCGCTTGTATGACAAGTCTATTTATTTCAGGTGGTGGGTTTTCAATTTTGCCCTAATGCTTTTCTCTCTCATATAAATGTTTAACAGGACTCTCTACTACAAACTTACACACGTCGCTTTAGACAACTGTAGTTAATTTCGATAACATTTTCGTGTTTGTGGCATTTCCGTAAAGTATACTTCCTGACCTCGTGAAATTATCTCGGATTCTTTTGTAAGAAACGTATTTCATATGTTCATTAATTTAAGATTTACAGAAGAGTAGTAGGGGGAGTTGTATGGTATAGGTAGAATTTCGTCACATCTAGGCTCACTCAGACAGATTTATGTCACCTTTTTTGCATTGCTCGATTTATTTTCTTTGTTAGCTTTCTCTCAATGATTGGCTGTTCATTGATATCCCCGGTGTGGCCGCGTTTGATGTGCATGTTGACAAGGTGCCTACCTGTCTATTACCCGCTACCTCGTCCATACTGGTTCCAGGAGACAGTTGGTCGTAGCTGGAGGGGACGGAGTGCACGGTTCTTGTGTCCGTGCCAGGCTCGAAAAGCGGTTGCATGCACTCAGTGTGGAGCGGACTACGGTGCAGCCACCGCCTTGTGTGCGTTTGATTCTCCAAATACAGCGTGCTTGTGTTTGCCTGTGAAGGAGTGTGGGCCGGCTCCGTTGATGAAACGTGGCTCCCATCCGCATGCCTCCCGGTCTTATTCCTTCGGGTTTACACTGGATATGGGGTGTGTGGTTGGAGGTGTGGGTGGTGCAGCGCAAGCCACCCATGGTCCCTCTGTAAGCGCAGGCGTCCTGTGGCTGGCCACAGTGACAGGCAAATTCGAAACCGGATGCCGCCAACAAATAATACCATCGGAACCTTAGTGGTGATGGAAGGGTTAAAGTTTGTTTAAAAAAGGGAAGAAAGTAGTAGCACGTTCTAGTTCATGTTTTAGACACGCCGTTTTGAGCTTTACTGTTCTTGTTCAGCCTTTTGTGTAATAGCGAATATTACATTGACACCGGTGATATCAATTGCGGTTCATGCTCCAAGAACGCAAACCAATAACAATCAGCATCACGTGTTCTCCAACCTGGAGGATGGGTACATCAAACTGACGCTAGACATCGAGTGCGACTAATCATGCTCCTTTCCCACATAACCGGTTGTCCGCCGCAGCACCTTTTCCA